GAATGTGTATGCATTGGGGGGTGGAAGGGCTTCCTGCAGTGTAGGAGGGAGAAGCAGTTTTGTCTGTCGGCAACATGCAATGCACACTGATGGCAAACATATTTTATGCACAGAGTTTATACTAGGCAGCCCGGAACAGAGCTATCTAAATGACTTGTACTGGGGGTGTAACCTGCCCCCAGCACACATATACTTATCACTCTGCATGTGCAATGTTTCAAGCAGAAACACTGCATATCCAGACATCTACCACCATGACTACGCCAATAAGCATAAGTGGTCATAGTGGTTGGAGTAACTCCTTAAAATAACCTAAAAATAAACATAAAACAATAACATAGTACAAAAGAGAAATAAATATTAAAAAAAACATTAAAGTGATGCTCAAAGTGTAGTGTTCTGTGAGGATCAGGTCCTTGGTAAAAGTCGTTCCTAACTCACATGAAGCTAATCCTCATCCATGAATGGATGTCACCAACCACCAATAGTAGGCTCGAAATATGATTATTGATATCTTTTTTAAAAACATAAATTATTAATAATAAGCCATCACTGTTCTGAGAACTAAATGTCCACTGTGATATAGTAATCAGTTTATCTTGTTCACAGGTTATTAGTATATAGCTTTTTGCTCGTTCTAGCCTAGCCGGCATTTGACGTCACACAACACATTTCGTCCTGCCTCCCTGGGCTTCGTCAAGTGTCACACTTGAGGCATAGTCGTGCGCAGCCTATTGCATTAGGGTGTGCACCCTAAAGCACAAGCACACGCCGCATATATATATGTATGTGTATATATATATATATATATATATATATATATATGTGTGTGTGTATATATATATATATATATATATATACACACACATACACATATATACACACATACACACACTGCTGTGTGTGTGTGTGTGCTGTGTGAGGGTGCTGTTAGTGTTATGTGTGTGTGACGGTGCTGGTAGTGTGCTATGTGGGTGAGGGTGTTTGTGTGTGCGTGCATATGAGGATGCTGTTAATGTACTGTGTGTGAGGGTGCTGTTTGTGTGTGTGTGCGCTTGTGAGGGTGCTGTTAATGTACTGTGTGTGAGGGTGCTGTTTGTGTGTGAGGGTACTGGTAGTGTGCTGTGTGTGTGTTTGTTATGGTCCTGTTTGTTTTTGTGAGGGTACTGTTAGTGTGCTGTGTGTGTGTGAGGGTGCAGTTTGTGTGCTGTGTGTGAGGGTGCTGTGTGTGTTTGTGAGGGTGCTGTATGTGTGTGTGGGTGCTGTATGTGTGTTGGTGCTGTGTATGTCTGTGGGGGCTGTGTATGTCTGTGGGTGCTGTGTATGTGGGTGCTGTATGTGTGTGGGTGCTGTGTATGTGTTTAGGTGCTGTGTGTGTCTGTGGGTGCTGTATGTGTGTAGGTGCTGTGTATGTCTGTGGGTGCTTTATGTGTGTAGGTGCTGTATGTGTGTAGGTGCTGTGTATGTGGGTGCTGTATGTGTGTGGGTGCTGTATATATCTGTGGGTGCTGTATGTGTGTAGGTGCTGTGTATGTCTGTATGGGTGCTGTATGTGTGTAGGTGATGTGTATGTATGTCTGTGGGTGCTGTGTATGTCTGTGGGTGCTGTATATGTCTGTGGGTGCTGTGTATGGGTGCTGTATATGTCTGTGGGTGCTGTGTATGGGTGCTGTATGTGTGTGGGTGCTGTATGTGTGTGGGTGCTGTGTATGTCTGTGGGTGCTGTATGTCTGTGGGTGCTGGATGTCTGTGGGTGCTATGTATGTCTGTGGGTGCTGTATGTCTGTGGGTGCTGTGTATGTCTGTGGGTGCTGTATGTCTGTGGATGCTGTGTGTGTGGGTGATGTCTGTGGGTGCTGTGTATGATGCTGTATGTGTGTGGGTGCTGTGTGTGTGCTGTGTGTTTGTGGGTGCTGTATGTCTGTGGGTGCTGAATGTATGTGGGTGCTGTGTCTGTCTGTGGGTGCTGAATGTGTGTGGGTGCTGTGTATGTCTGTGGGTGCTGTATGTGTGTGGGTGCTGTCTGGGTGCTGTATGTGTGTGGGCGCTGTATGTCTGTGGGTGCTGAATGTATGTGGGTGCTGTGTATGTCTGTGGGTGCTGTGTATGTCTGTGGGTGCTGAATGTCTGTGGGTGCTGAATGTGTGTGGGTGCTGTCTGGGTGCTGAATGTCTGTGGGTGCTGTATGTGTGTGGGTGCTGTGTATGTCTGTGTGTGCTGTGTGTGTGCTGTATGTGTGGGTGTTGTATGTCTGTGTGTGCTGTATGTGTGGGTGTTGTATGTCTGTGTGTGCTGTGTGTGTGCTGTATGTGTGGGTGTTGTATGTCTGTGTGTGCTGTGTGTGTGCTGTATGTGGGTGGGTGATTGTGGGGGTGGAGGTGGGGGTACATTACTTGCTATCCCCCCTCCCTTCTTACCTTTTGTAGGGAGGGGGGGTCGTGCTGCTGATTCCATACCTGGTGGTCCAGTGGAGAGTGAACTCTAACCCCTGTGGGGCTAGAGTTCACTCTCGCGAGAGGAACCCGGCGGAGCTGCCGGCAATAGCTCCGCCGGGTCCTCTCCTGCCTCCCTCCCTGCATGTGGGTCAGTGGTGAGGGAGGCTGAGACCAGAGCCGGCGCTCGGATAGCGCCGGCTCTGCATGAGCCGACAGGGGAGATCCTGAGATCTCCCCTGCCGGTCTCAATATACATAGGCGGGCCGCGGGGATTAGGGTGTGCCCAGGCACACCCGGCACACCCCGTGCGCAAGCCTATGACTTGAGGACAGACACACACATTTTAGCAAGAGGAAGTTGGCCGGTAAAAAGTAGCAATAACATTCTGAAGAAATCTAATAAGTATAATATCAGTCACCAAATCCAGAAATGCTACAGAAAACAAAAGTATATATTTGTAGAAATAGGGGTATTTCTCAAAGAACATTTTGAAACATATCCTTTTTTTTATTGCAATCTTTATTTAATCATTTTGAAATTATCAGCGTTAAAACTTGCAATTTTGACTGATTTACTAAGCCGATGTCAATTCTGGGACAAAATAGCAGTACCCAAGAGAGCTTTACCTCTATAATGGCATACCAGTAGAAGACAACTCCGATTATCTCATGTGTGCATTTTAAGTCTTTTTACATGACGGTTTCATCAGCAATGTTTGTCAATGTTTGAGATATTTAAAAAAAAAATACAATTTCAAAATACATATTAAATTTGCATACTGAATCTCACTGGTCTTTGGTGTTCAACTAGTTCTAAGACCCATGATTTGTATTATGCTGCATTACATCAGTACAGAAATACACATATATAACTGTGCTAGTTTTTAAGGTGTAGTTAGAGACATGCCCTAATTTCAACATGCCACTTTGCTTATTCAAAATAGTATTTTCGTGAAGTGATACTATCTGTGCTACTATTTCTTCTAACCCTACCTAAACCTAAACATGGATAACACTAATCTAGCTGAGCTATCATAGCTAAAACTAATCTTTTTTTTCCAATTTGAAATTTTTATTATCTTCAAGAAAAGGTATGGGGTACAGAAAAGAAGAGGGAGCGTTAACATATCATGGGGATGACACAATCACATTTTGTACATCTTGGTAGCTTCATGTGTAAGTGGGGGGTATGTCAGCAGGTCGAGGGGGTGTTGCTGATTGCTCAACTTATACAGTGTCGTCATGTATCTATGACAATGTCGTCATGTATCTATGCCAATATCAACCCTGTGGTCTTTCGTGGGGTATACATTATGGTAGGCGTGCTCCGCAATGCGAGTGTTGATCGCGTGCGCGTTAGTGGGTAAGTTGGAGTTGTCTGCGTTTCCCCGGCTTTGCCTATAGGTTGCAGAGGCTTTCGCAAGCGTTAGGGGTTGAGGGTTGTTTTCTTAAGTGTGATTGCTTGGGGTAGGTAGTGGGGGGGCCAGGAAGGGGGGGGAGATTGGGTGGGTGGAGTAGGGCAGGGGGTGTTGGTTGGAGTACCTAGCGGGGGACATCCTGTGTAGTGTAGTGACTGTAACAACAATATGTTTGAAGCTTTGTGTGGTGCCTTCTTGAGTGTTTGGGTGCTGGGTGGTTGTGTTCTCCGGCTGAGAGTAAGCCTGGTTCGGGAGATTTTGTCATTTTCGTGGGTGTTGGGGCTCAGGTCAGTCTTGTGTTTGTTCGTCGTAGGTAGTCCTCCCACATTGTGGCAGTGTGGGGGCTGAGTTCCCCAATTTTCGCCTGATTCCACATTATTAGTTCATGTTCTACTGTTGAGGTCATTACTTTTTCTATGTCTTGGAGCGAGGGCAGCGTAGTTGTTTTCCAGTTTCTGGCTATTAGTATGGATACTGTACTTAGGATGAGGTATATAATTTTTCGGATCGGCTTCGGGATGTTTCCCTGTAACGAGCGTAGTAGGATCGTTTTGGGGTCGAGGGGTAGTTGGTGTTTCGTGACTCGTTTGATTAGTTTGGCTGTTTCTTTCCACAGTTGATTCACCTGCTTGCACGTCCACCACATGTGCAGCATGGTGCCTCTCGCAGCGTGGCAGCGCCAGCATTGGTCTGAGGAGTTTGGGAATATGGTGTGGAGTCGGGTTGGGACCATGTACCATCTGTATAGGAGTTTCCTGGATGCTTCGAGGTGTGCTGCGCTTGATGTCAGTCCTATATGGGAGGTGAAAATCTTATCCCATTCGGCTGGTGTGATGATGATTTGGAGGTCGTTCTGCCAATCTTGCATGAACTTCCATGTGGTGTGTATATCTCTGTTAGCGAGGTTGTTGTAGCAAAGGGAGACTGCTTTTTTGGGGGGAATCCGCGTCAAGCATTGTGCTTTGAATTTCGTAATAGAGGTTTGCAGGGAGTTTTGGATGTTTGTGATCTTGTTGTTGCGTAGGTGCGCTTTGATTTGGAGATATGCGAACGTGAAGCTGGAAGGTAGTAGGAATTCTTTTTGTAGGTCTGGGAATGTTTTCAGCCCGTCTTTCGTGTATAGATGGTAGATATGAGTGATACCTGCGTTACTCCATTTTTGGTATGGGAATGTTCCGTTGCACTGGTGCAGGATTTGGATCGGGGTTGCCAGGGTCCACGGGTGCGCTGAGCACAAATGCTCCCTGCAGGCATCCTAGATCTTGAGCAAGTGTCTGGAGGTGTCTAGGGTAGTCGTAGGTATGTGCCGTAGATGTTGAGGCATCCAGAGCAGTGTCGGGAGGTCTTGATTTCCGCAGTGGTTGCTCTCTATTGTTACCCATTGAGGGGTATAGCTGGTCGAGTGGGCGTAAATGACGTTTGTGAGGATGGAGGATCGGTAGTACTCTTTAATGTTGGGTAGGCCCAGTCCTCCGGATTGCACGTTTCTCATTAGAAGCGATTTGGGGAGTCGAGGGTGTTTGCCTCCCCAACTGAAGCGTAGTAGTGTCGCTTGTAGTTTTGTTACGTAGCTTTGCGGGATTGGGATTTGCAGAGATCTTAAAAGGTAGAGTATTTTAGGTAGAATTGTCATTTTCAGCGCTGCTATTCTCCCTACCCAGGACAGGAACAGGCTTCTCCATGTTTTTAATTGGTTGTCAATGTCTTTTAATAGTTTTAAGTAGTTTGCCGGGAAGAGTTATTTTTCTTTGCGCGTTATTTTGATGCCTAGGTACACTAGGAAATCTTCTCTCCAGTCGAAGTGGTGGTTTGCTTTAAGTGCGTCTTCTGTGGGTTTTGGGATGTTAAGGCACATTGCTTGCGTTTTGGTGACATTGAGTTTGTAGTAAGACTGTTGGCTGTAAGCCTGGAGTTCCGTGTGAAGGGATGGGAGTGATATGAGCGGTTGCGTGAGCGTGAGAAAGATGTCATCGGCAAATAAGCTGAGTTTATATTCTGTGTTGCCCGTCGGTACCCCATGGATACTGACATTGCTGCGAATTGCTATAGCCAAGGGTTCCAAGGCCAGCACGTAGAGGAGAGGGGATAAGGGGCATCCTTGTCGGGTCCCATTTGTTATTGGGAAAGTTCTTGAGCAGAACCCGGAATTCAGCACTGTTGCCGTGGGTGTGCTGTATAGTGCGTTGACTGCAGATAGGAAGGGGGCTGGAAGTCCGTAAGCTTGTAGGGTTTCATGGAGGAAGTGCCAGTTTAGTCGGTCGAATGCCTTTTCGGCGTCAAGAGATAGTAGGACACTTGGTTGTTTGGTATGCTTTAGTATTTTGTATAGGTTCAACACCTTCCTGGTGTTGTCCGGCCCCTGTCTGCCTGTCACGAACCCCACCTGGTCCGTGTGGATTAGTGTCGGTAGGATTGTTTTGAGACGTTCTGCATATATTTTAGCATATAGTTTTGCGTCAGCATTTAAGAGGGAAATTGGTCTGAAGTTTTGGCTTGTAGTGGGGGGTTTATCCGGTTTGGGGATGGTGATAACGTGAGCTGATAAGAATTCCTTTGGGAAAGATCCACGTCTGGTGGCCTCATTGTAGAAGCTAGTGAGGGCTGTGATCAGTTCGTGTTTGAAGGTGGTGTAGTACATGTTGGTATAGCCATCTGGGCCCGGTGCCTTCTCTTTTGGCATTTTGTCTACCTGGCAGAGAACTTCGTCAGTGGTGATAGGGGCGCATAGGTCATCTGCTTGATGCGCTAGGAGTTTGGGAAGGTTTAGTTTTGCTAAGTATGTGCGTATGGAGGAAGGGGTGGGTTGGGTCTGGTTTTCTTGGTCTCTTAAGTTGTATAATGTGGTGTAGTAATGTGCAAATTTGTTACAAATCTGCGTTGGTTGCATAACTTTGTGCCCTGAGTGTGTGTTGAGGTATGGAATTCGCGTCTGAGCTTGTTTTACTCGCAGTCTTTGAGCCAATGTTTTTGTTGCCTTGTTTCCCATGGAGTAGGAAGTAGCCTTGAGTTTTTTCAGTGCGATACTGGCTTTCCTGAGATGGATTTTTTAAATTTCTTCCTGTACTTTCAGTTGGAGATTTCGAGAGGGATTCTCTTGATTCTCTCTATGGAGGTCTTGGACTTGTTTCAGGAGGTTGAGCAGGTGCGTGTGGGACGATTTCTTGACGTAGGATGCTCTGCTGAGGAGAAGTCCTCGGATGACCGTTTTGTGCGCCAGCCATAGCGCAGCTGGGTTTGTTCCTGTGATATCGTTGGTCATGAAGTACTGTCGGATTTCGTGGCGGAGTTTGTTCGTGAATTCAGGGTCATTAAGCAGGAGTTCGTTCAGTCTCCAAGGGCTGCGATGTTTGTATTGGTATAGGTCTATGAGGGTGAGTAGCACCGGGTTGTGGTCCGAGACGGTTGAGGTGCTTATCTCACAGGTGTCGATCTGGTGAAGGTGTGCGCTGTGCATTAGGTATCCATCTATGCGGGAGTATGTGTTGTGTACTTGTGAGTGGTGGGTGTATTCCCTAGAGGTCGGGTGGAGAGTTCTCCATATGTCGTATAATCCGTGTGAGGCTAGTGTTTTGTTTAGGGCGGTGCATTGCTTGTGCAGGAGTTTATTTCTTTTGGGTGTGTGACTCGCCGTCGAGTCTGCTTGTGGGTCAAGGATGTGGTTGAAATCTCCGCATAGGATCAGGGTTCCAGTGCGTATTTGTTCTATTTTGTCCAATAGTGTGGACATGTAACGGGGTTGACAGTCATTTGGAAAGTATGCGTTAGCTAGTGTATATGTAACGTTGTTTAGCGTGCATATGATATATCTGCCCTGTGGGTCGGCTTGGACTGTTACTTGGTCATACGCCAGTGTGTGGCTTATTAAGATCGAGACTCCTCTGCTTTTGGATGGGGATGTGGCATGGTATTGGTGAGGATAGTGTTTGAGTCCTAAGATGGGTGAAGAGTCATGCCGGAAATGGGTTTCCTGCAGGCAGATAATGTCAGCTTGTGAATTGCGAATTTCCTTGAGAAGGTTATATCTTTTATGGGGCGTGTTAAGTCCCCTTACATTGTGCGTGTACACTTTCATTGTGGACTGATTAGGAGGGTCGGTGGGAGTAGAGTGGCCTTTTGTGTGGAGTCTTAATGTGTGTTACGTGTGTGTCAGGTCGCCGCGTGGTGGTCAGTATATGTGTATACTTGGTATGTGGGTGCTGCCGCTAGGGGGGCTTTATGTTTGTGGGAAAGGAGTGGTTGTGGTCTCACTGTGTCCCGTCTTGTGTGGCAGGTACTATCAGTGGACGCGTAGTGTCCCGGTATTTAAGGGGGGGGGGTTAAGGCACCAACTGGGTGCCGTAGTTAGGTGGTGGAAATCAAGGGAGGGGAGTCGAACAATAACTAAAGTATATTACAATGGTCACTTTCAAGGGTATGTGCCACAAATGGCACTTCGTCTTTGGGGGTAAAGTGGTCGGGTCGAATCCAGCTGATGGCTGTTTTGGGCCCTTGGTGTGTAGGCTGTCCCACTGGGTGTGTGTTTACGGGGCTTTTTTCCCTGTGGTGTTCAGCTTGGGTCAGAGTAGGGCGTTGTTGCGGGCGGGGAGTGAACCCATCCGTGGTGGCTTATGTATCGGTTCCCCGGGTAACATTCGGGAGGATATTCCAGGAGGGGGGAGCGGGCGGTCATCACAGCCGGGCCTGTTGTTTGCCCTGGGGTTGCGGTATTGCGTTTATGCGGCCCTATTGTGCCCGTTTGTCATGTAGGGGTACAATCTGTACATACATCTCGGCATTGTCATTTCTATCATTTGCACATCCAGCTCTAATGTATAAAAGTCCTAATGCATCAGTTAAATATCACAAAGCATTACATCACGGTACTCTTTATGTTCTCAACAAGTGCCTTAGGGGCTGATGTGGGCATACACACTATATTTTGAAGGGGATGGGCCTCCTGTCTGCTGTGTAAGGGCAGTAAGTCACACTAGTCCCTCCGTCTTGACCCCTCCATGCCTTATTTCCCAGTGCTACGGGTAGGATAGGTCCCGTGTCCTGGTTCGGGTGCTGTCTCTCACTGCGGGCCTATTCGTTTTAGGGGGGGTAGTTACCCAGGTGGAACGTCACTTGTAGCCCCACACATTACGTCTCCCTTGCTGGATCCATTTGTAAAATTCTCTAGGGGGGTTTGACTGGGTCTCACTAATTGTCAGGTCCAGTCATGAACGTTCACTGCATCTTTCTATTGTGCCCTTAGAGTTAGTTTTTGTCGGCAGTAGGGTGGCGCAGTGCGATTAATGCCCAGGGTATGGGTGGGTTAAAACCTCCGTATGGGATATCACCAACATTTGAATTAACATATTAACAGAATGCAGTATAAGAAACAAAATAACACTTGCTAGTCCTTGGGAAGTTAGCGATCTTCCTCTCTGTGCGCCGCTCGTCGTTGCCTTTGTGGGCGCCAGTCAGCCCCTGGTGCCGTGCTTGAGCTTGCGTGGTGTAGGTTCTGGGCTAGGCCCCATTTGTGCAGGATATCTAGGCCTTCCGCTGGGGTTGATGCCGTGATGAGCTTTCCTCCTTTCGTGATGAGGAGTTTCGCTGGGTAACCCCATCTGTAGGGGATGTTGTGGTGCCTTAGTACCTCAGCCACTGATTTGAAGGATCTTCTGCGTCGAAGCGTGTCTGCTGAGAGGTCTGTGAATAGAAGGATATCTTTGAACTTGTCTGGCAGATCTTTTTTCGCTCTATGAGCCCTTAGTATCTGGTCTTTGACGTGGAAGTAATGGAGCTTCATGAGCACATCCCTTGGTGGTAGACGGTAGGTGTTGCGGTTTGGGGATTCGGTGTATTCGGTCTAACAGGAGCATGTCCGTTGGTATGTCTGGTAAGACATGTCGGAAGAGTTCCACCGTGTAGGCCGTTAGGTCTTGCGTTCCCACCTCCTCCGGCACTCCCCTCAGTCTGATGTTGTGGCGGCGGGACCTGTCTTCTACATCTGTAAGCTTAGCCTCATGTAGGGATAGTCTTTTTTCCATGTCACTCAGTCGGTTGCCCATCTCAGTGTGTGCAGAGTTTATAACCTCCATCCTCCCCTCCAATTGGGATGTCCTTGCATCTATGGCAGTTATATCTGTCTTTATGTCAGCAAGAGCAGTGGTAATGGTTACCTGCATTTTTGAGACTGCTGCATCAAGCATTTTCTGCAGTAGGTGAGTGGTTAGCAGGGTGTCCGTCCTGTATTCCTGTGCACCCATGTGATCGGCATCCGGATCAGACTCGGCGCCATCTTGGATGTGAGTATCGGCATGTTTGTGTTGCGGCGTTCCGGCCGCGAAAAAAGCCGCTTTGTCTTTGGGGTCTGCATTCTTTTTATTGCGGTGTTAGGACATCGTGTTGGAGTGCCTGGGGTCCAGGGGACCGCTTGATTGTGGGTGTTTAGCCGCTTATAAGAGCCCAGAACTGCGGAGCTCTTTCAGTGTGCTGCCATCTCCGTTTGACGTCCGGCCACGCCCCCCGCTAAAACTAATCTTAAAGCTAACTAACCCTAAACTTAGCTAAAATTTGGCTGAGAGCCTTTATTACTGGACTTCCTCAATGTGAGGCTGCCAGTAAATAGTGCTTGTACAACAGCTGCCACAATGGTGGCAAAAGAAAGCAGCATCCAATCATTTTAGAATTGTGCCAAAGCAATGGGATGCCTGCCAGAGCCCTGGGGGGTATTGCTGGATACAATTGGTAGTTAGTAGTCCACCTATGGCCGCATCTCCCTGTTGGCAATTTTGGGGCCTGTACCGCTATGTCCTCCGTTACTAACTATGAAAGTAACGGGATCATACATGGGTATATCTGCTTCACAATGCAGTCCACTGAAATATCTATCATTCACTTAAACACACGGTTTGTTTTGTTCCAAAGACGGTAAAGGCACAATACATTTTGAAAGAATTTCCCGCTCTTTCTCAATTAGCATATAGTGTATAGTTTTTTGTTTTGTTTAAAACATACAGAGCTTTCTTGTAATGTCCTATATATAAAACATGTACACATTTAGTACCTCTCCAGGAGAAATAATGCAAAATAATTATTTGTTAGTCCTGATTTAAGTCTTTCTCCTAAGATGTTCATTTAATTTTGGCATTTATAAATCACATATTGCAAAGAGCACATTAATGTTTCAGTTATAGAAGTTTACAAAGTTCACTTTACAGGTATTGTAACATTAGTAGCAGTCACCACTACCACACAAAGTCAAATATATTTTCAAAGAAGACACCACAGATTTACCATGTGGTATTTTGACTTTTTGTAATTCATCTTTTATCAGCTTCTACCAAATTGTCTTGTCATAGTTAACTTTTTGTGTTATTCTCACACACATACATAACCCTGTGTAACGGATCAACTGGCACCCCGACTGGGTACCTCCGTTAAAGGATCCTCCTAGCGTTTCCTGAGGACTCCAAGCACTCTGGCAGACACCACAATCACCGAACCGGAGAAGCATATACCTTCTCTCAAGCATATGAATGCTATAAACAGCTGAATAGGGGAAAACCATACGGATTGGTTTAGACTCCTAGCAGTCAAATTGGAACAGCATACAATAAATCCTTCCCCAATAATGAGACGACACTTCACTTTGAGGGTTAAGCAAGAACTCTCCTGAAATGGCCACACACTGGCTTTTATGCAAGTCCCCATGCAGGGGGACATCCCACTGGGTGGGACACAGTACAACCAATCGTTTACAGGAGAACCGTAAAACACACCCACAATTACATCACAATCCCTCCTCTCTGTCCTGGAGATAATTGTGAAGTAATCCAATTATCTCCCAGGACAGAGGCAAGATTCTATTAACCACATGGCAGTAACAATACAATAAAAGACATAAAATTACATACAGTTACATTTATTCCATAAAACATAGACATTCTACATATCCCCAGATAGCTTAGATCTGAGTGCACATTACTACCGAATGGCGCTCAGATCACATACATACAGTTCAATCGCCATGGAGCCAAAGTCTTTCATACAGTCTTTCAGTATATGGCTGGGCTCCATGGCATAGCTATCTGGGGTAGCATGACTTTAACAGTCCTCAGAAAGGCACGAATAAACCTTTCTGTCGGTAAAATAAAAGTTTAAAATGCAGGACCATAGTCTAAAGGGAGCAGGCGAGCAACCAGGCCTCTCCAGTGGACAGTGGCGAGGTTGGTTCCACCACACTTCTCCCTTTTACCAGACAGACTAACAGGGTATCTGACCTCCTGCCGGTCAGTGCCCTGGTTAGTCCAGCAACCCACCCACAAAGCACAAACAACAGTACAGCCCACCCTCAATAAATGGTTACTACACCCAGGTGTAGTAGAAAAAGTAGAAACCTGTCCATGTCCAGGTGCCTCACCATGGCTGTGCGGGGTACTGTTGGGCTGCCTTGGTGGGTTGCTGAGTGGGCAGAGACCAGCGGTACTCTGCCCTGGTATCAGTGCTACCACGGAAGTAGCCTGGTTGGAGCCTGGTTGTGGGAGGGGGAGGCCAACTGTCTCCCCTCTGGATACACAGTTCTGTTGCTGGGGGACAGGACCGCCCGTCACTACCCCTTGTGCTGTAAGTGTAGAGACCACGGTCCCATCTGCACTGGTGGGGGGCTTAGTGTCTCCCCTTGGTGGGCTACGCTGCCGCTGGGGAGAGGGGGTAACAAACTCCTCTCCCTTACACGCTTTCAGCCGCTGGGGAGAGGGGGTAACAGGCTCCTCTCCCTGACACTCTCTCTGCTGGTAGAGAGGGGGGCCAACTGTCTCCCCTTCCAATAATGCGCTCTGCCGCTGGGGAGTGAAACCAGTGGTCTCTCCTCCCTGACACTCTCTCTGCTGGTGGAGAGGGGGACTGACTGTCTCCCCTTTCAATATATTGTCCTGCCGCTGGGGAGGAAGGACGACACCTTCCGCTCCCTGGGACACACACTGCCGCTGGGGAGGAAGGATGACACCTTCAGCTCCCTGGGACACACACTGCCGCTGGGGAGGAAGGACGACACCTTCAGCTCCCTGGGACACACACTGCCGCTGGGGAGGCAGGACGACACCTTCAGTTCCCTGGGACACCAACTGCCGCTGGGGAGGAAGGACGGCACCTTCAGCTCCCTGGGGGACACACTGCCGCTGGGGAGGAAGGACGGCACCTTCAGCTCCCTGGGACACACACTGCCGCTGGGGAGGAAGGACGGCACCTTCATCTCCCTGGGACTTGCTCGGCCGCTGGGGTCTCTCCCCCGTGGCCAAATCTACTTTGAACTGCAGGTACTCTGCCACTCTTCTCCTTGTGTTTTGTACATATTTCTCTTCTGGATTGGGTCAGAAGAAAGCCAGCAGGCTTTTCAGCATAGCGTCGAACTCCTCCTAAGTGTAGCTGGGTGCCATGCTTGCTCTGCTGAAGTTGGCTCTTTTGTAGATAGGGTCTCTGTACGGGTACTAGCCTTACCCTCAATTTGTAAGTCCAGGGAATGGTGTTACCTTGTAGCTGTCCCTCTGGACTGTGGGAATGATCCAACCGCTGCCACCAATGTAACGGATCACCTGGCATCCCGACTGGGTACCTCCGTTAAAGGATGCTCCTAGCGTTTCCTGAGGACTCCAAGCACTCTGGCAGACACCACAATCACCGAACCGGAGAAGCATATACCTTCTCTCAAGCATGTGAATGCTATAAACAGCTGAATAGGCGAAAACCATACGGATGGGTTTAGACTCCTAGCAGTCAAACTGGAACAGCATACAATAAATCCTTCCCCAATAATGAGACGACAGTTCACTTTGAGGGTTAAGCAGGAACTCTCCTGAAATGGCCACACACTGGCTTTTATGCAAGTCCCCATGCAAGGGGACATCCCACCGGGTGGGACACAGTACAACCAATCGTTTACAGGAGAACCGTAAAACACACCCACAATTACATCACAATCCCTCCTCTCTGTCCTGGAGATAATTGTGAAGTAATCCAATTATCTCCCAGGACAGAGGCAAGATTCTATTAACCACATGGCAGTAACAATACAATAAAAGACATAAAATTACATACAGTTACATTTATTCCATAAAACATAGACATTCTACATATCCCCAGATAGCTTAGATCTGAGTGCACATTACTACCGAATGGCACTAAGATCACATACATACAGTTCAATCGCCATGGAGCCAAAGTCTTTCATACAGTCTTTCAGTATACGGCTGGGCTCCATGGCATAGCTATCTGGGGTAGCATGGCTTTAACAGTCCGCAGAAAGGCACGAATAAACCTTTCTGCCGGTAAAATAAAAGTTTAAAATGCAGGACCATAGTCTAAAGGGAGCAGGCGAGCAACCAGGCCTCTCCAGTGGACAGTGGCGAGGTT